TATTTTGAATTAATATGGGTTTGCAGTTAAAAGTTTTGAATTATCTTGGCTCTTTATCAAGGCACAGGAGATAATGTGCTTTTGAAATAAAATATTGTTCTTAGATATGTGTTTGGCTGGCCGTGAGCATCCCTCAGATTACTGAGAAGTGTTGTTTCTGCCTGCAGTACAGTCATCTTTATGGCTTTACAGTGTAAGTTATTCTTCAGTCAAGTTCTGTTGAGATGCTGTTTGTTAAAGATCAGTAAACATTACCTAACTTACCAATGAGTGACAGCGAATTTCTGACCCTTAGCCCAGTGACACCATTTTTTACTTCCCTTTGAAAAGCCTGTCACATGTAAATGTTTGACTCCCTTTGCAGTTCTCCATGGAAGGTGTCAAATTTAGAAGGCTAGTAACCACTTCTTCTTTGACCTTCTGTTTTGCTGACTAAAGTTTCAATGAAGCATACAAAATTTGGGACCTTTGTACAAATGAGAAGATCTTTCCCTTGTGTGTCTGTGTGTAACAGCAACAACTAGACTAAAGAAATCCTTCTTTAAAGATACATTATTTTCTTAAATCTGATTTTAGGTATTTAAAGCCAGTGTAAAGATTAATAAACTCATTTTTCTGTAGCATCTCTGCGCTCCTAGATCATTGTGTGTAAAGATTCCTGATAAGTCTAGAATCTGCTGCCGTGCTCAGCAGAAGAGATGCAAGATGTGTTTTTGCAGAGGTTATACCTTTTCATTACACCAATTGATGATTATTTGAAAAAATTAGACACATTTGCCTGCACAGCCCCCTTTCAGATTTCCAGTCTGTTGGTTTATTTGTTGCCCTTACATTGATTTGAAAGTTTTGGTGAATCTTACAAAAATGCTGTAGCTCTTATAGGTGACCTGGACAGCTCTGTTTGGGCTAAAGCCTTGCTAACTAGCTTTTGGGTACCTTTGTTATTGCATTACCCCTTGGTGGGTATAGAGAAGCTCTATTCTGCTATCCCTCTGCTCTTCACTTCTTTCACCAGCGTTTGGATGTGTCCTAGAGTCTAGACTTGGTGTTCAAAACAAAACAAAAAAAGGCAGTTTGTTTGAGTGCTGATGCTACTAAACCAAAGCTCACTAATGATGAATTCCTCAGATTGATTTCAGCTAAATAGATGCTTTCCAAGTGTTTACTCACTTTCTTTAACAGAATTTAATTAAAGAATTATATGAGACCAAGAGCTTGTTTATATATTTCTTTTCTTGCATATATTTAAGAATCATAACATATTTAATCTTGAATTCTGTCCTGTGTTCAGTGAAACATTTTGGCTAATATGCATGGGAAAAGATGTTTCATTTTGAGAGTCAGGGCTATTGCTCAGTAAATTGTCTTATTGTCTTAAATGGTCATAGTATTCTTAAAGAATGTTTCCAAGATACTGGAACAAATACAGAAATGAGATTATTGGGCCACAGAAGTGAAAGAACACATGAGCATTTGTCTGCTTAATCATCCCTATCATTAAAACAGCTGTGTCACCATCCTCTTGTGCTTGCTCCTTGGCTACTGTGCTAACGTAGAGTGGGACGTGGGGGATTTTTTCAGGTGACCTATAAAGCTATTAGAGTCACAGGTTTTAAAACTGGGACATAGACAGCCATACAAATATTCTAATAATCTCTGCATGCAGGTATATATATGGAAAGTCTGTTTCCTAACCACAAGTGACCACCTTTAAAAGGCTATTTCTGTTCTTTTTATAAAATTATACAGTACCTGAAAAGTATTGTTACAATGGAAAGATATTTCGCTGGAGAGTAGGACTGAATAGAAGCTGAGCAAGCTGTTTGGTTAGAAGTCACTCCCACCCCTCTTCCCAGACCCAGGGAGCAAAACTGGCTTGCACTCAGGTTCAGTGTAAACTTGGGGAAAGTGGGAAGTCTTGGAGGGGTGAACCCCAACAAGACAACACATCTCAAAAAGCAGTGAAAACCTTTTACCACAGATTAGTCCCAAAGTCTGATGATAATTGAAGAGACTGAAGGAAATAGAACCATCCTTCTAGGAATGATTGTGTTACTCTGCTAAATTTATTAGGATCCTCCCAAGACATCAGATGGAAAACCACTTAGTACCCATTGCAACTTTGTAGGACCTGTATGTCCCAGTTTTCAGTGGGTCTGGGACATAACAAATGGATACTGTCTGTAGTTTTAGTTTTGGCTTGGGAGCAATGAGACAACTCACCCTCTTGGTCATTAGTAGAGGGCAGAGCAGTGAACCAATTATTGGATCATTTTTGCCACTTATTTTGGTACTTGATTTTTAAAAGAAGTTTTACTTATAATGAAATTGTTATACAACAATATGAGAAGTTCCTCTTGTGCTAGAAGCAGATGATGTGCATTAAACTAATAATACACTGTACTTGAAAAATACTTCTTGTGTGATTTAAGTTTTGCCCTGTCCATACTCTCTTCTGAGGGGTAGTACTTCTTACTTGGAATAGATTTGGAATACATGTAAAAATAATTAAACTTTATTTTAGGGCCCACAAGTTGAAAACGTGAAATGGCACTGAGTAGGAAATTTTTTCCATAGTTAGAGCTGAAGTTTGTATTTGCTTGACTAATATGAACAATGTAGGAGATAAATACCTATTAAAACTGCTTGCATTTATGAAGCTTGTAAAGTTGGCAGAATTTAATGAGGCATTCCTGCTAGAAAAAATGCCATGTGTGGTAAATTATTACTGTGAATTATGAATGTTTAAAAAAGGGGGATTTGCCAAACTTAGCAGAAGATTATTAACTGTGAGAATGGTTTCCCAATAATGCCATCCCACAGAAAATTATAACACCAGCTTGGGAGTTACCAGTGTTTAGTCAGATATAACATCCAGTTGGTACAATGTTTGCCTTTCTGAATTCTCAAAGGGTTTAAAATGTACTCTCTGTAGTAATCGCTGGGTCAGGAAGTGGGAATGTGTTTCCATGGTGGCTCTGCTCTCGCACAGTTCAGATGATGAAGGAGAAACAGTTTTGAAGTTTGCTATATCTCATCAGGGAGATTTCCCAGTTCAACTTTGCTGTCAATGAGAATACTAGATTTTACTTTTTTTTCTTTAAAAGGAAAAGGTCAGTCTGGGTAGAGCAGTAATGAACAGAATAATGAGCAGTGGTCCAGCCTCTCCCTTACTATGTGATGGATGGTGAGCACTGCAGAAAGCCAACAAAACCAAGAGAGCTGCAATTCCTTTCGCCTCTAGATAAGCCATTTCTGGGAGGATTTTCTCTTTAGTCTGAAAATGAACAAATAGATACTGTTAATTGAAGATTCTATTCTTCAAATAATAAGTAATTTTCATTCTGGAGTAGATAATTTATGCCTACTACCGAGGCAGCAATTGTGATTAATATACTGCATTAGCTGCTTGAGCAGATAAAATCTCAACAGCTAAAGATATTGTTTTCATGCAGATAAAGCTAATAGAAAAATGAAAGGAAGATAAAACCTCAAGAATGTGATGTAATGCACAGAACAAGTTATACCCTGTCAGAACTGTAAAGTCTGAGTGAAATGTCATCAGACTTTCCTGTAAAGGAAGTAGGAAGAAAGGGTTATATGTTAGGACACCCCAAGCTCCACACCTGTAACATGATGGAAATGGAACTGACCTGTTTTGGCAAAGAGTGTGATGGCTTATTTCTTCATTGCCTGCATAAAGAGAGCAGTGCTTTTTCTTCAGGACACCCTGTGTCTCAGGCAGCATAGGCCAAAAACCACTATTGACAACAAATAGGGTTTTGAGTCTCAGATTAGTTGCAACAAACAAGAGACCTCTCTTGGTGTTTTCTTTAGTCTAAATCCAATAAACCAAACTCCAGTTAAATAATTTTTATCTCTTAAACCTATACATTAAAGTTATTTTTTTTAATTTGTGCCACTAAACTTGAAAAAAATAAAAAAAATGTCTCAGGGTCATCTAATTTAACCTCAATGACTACATAAGTCTCCACAGTGTTGTATTCAGCGATCTATGCTCATTAGTCATCTGATCTCAACATCTTTTTCCAAAGTTATATCCCAGACACATATTTGTTGGTGTAGCAAATACTTTTTTTTTAGGACAGTAACCACGTTCTTCTCACTGACAAATTCACATTTTTGTTTTAAGATGCATAATAAAGCATTTGAGTCATATGGAACGCTAAGATGGGTGGTGATTAGAAGCAACTAAAATGAATACATGTAATCTAGAAAATTATTCTCTTGTAAATTAATGTTCTTGTCCACAATATATTTAATCTAAAAAGCATGTCAGTGAAATATGGGGAGTGTTTTTTGTTGTTTCAGTAAAACATCAGCATATAGAATCACAGAATCATTAAGGTTGGAAAAGACCTCTGAGATCATCAAGTCCAACTGTTAAATACTATGCTTTTGTTTTCTTTTATGTGCATGAGATGTAGATGAAGGAATTAAAATATTGTTGCAGTGTTCTTTTTTTTGAAGTTTGATATCACTATTCTACTCTTCATTAAAATTAGGATCTTGTTTCTCCATTGTGACTGGCTTGCACCATTTGGTTAAACATATGACTCATTAGTGTTTTCCTTCTTAGTGTCTATTTGGTTATCAGTTATCTGTTTGAAATTGTTCTGAAATAAATTGAAATAATAGTTCTACCATATATCTTTATGGGGTATTTATAATTTGATTTTGATGGTCAGTTGAATGCCCTTTAAGCACTATGTCGTCAGCAAATATTGTGTTGGTTTCTGCCATAACTGTGAATACATGAAGTGCTGGACTGCCATTGTGTGACTTGGATTTGGAAACTCTAATTTTGGTTGAAAAAAACCCCCTCCAAATTTTACCCTTTTTTTAATGTATTATACTAATGCATTATTTTTAAAGTACTGTATATAATTTTACTGTGAAGGTTGAGAACTTGTGCAGAAACAAAAAACAGAGAGATCGAGTACAGTAAATCTGCATGAATTATCCTCCTTTTTTCGTAGATATTTGGGCAATTGGCTGCATATTTGCTGAACTGTTGACTTCAGAACCTATATTTCACTGTCGTCAGGAGGACATCAAAACAAGTAATCCTTTTCATCACGATCAGCTAGACCGCATTTTCAGTGTAATGGGATTCCCTGCAGGTAATTTATTTTCATTAAAGCATCAGATGTAATGCCACTGAGTTGTTTTTCTTGGTTTTTTTTTTTTTCTAAAGGAAATGAGTAGTTGTTTGTATAGGTACAAAGAATCTGACAATTTGATGGATTTGGAAATGCTGACAATTATGGAACAATAGCACTGGCCAACTAACAGGAAGTCAAACAACTGCTGTAGTTATTTCTTCTCATGTATTACTTAACCTACACATTCAGAATTGTAAATACTTTTTTTTTTCCCTCCCTACCAAAGATAAAGACTGGGAAGACATAAGAAAGATGCCAGAATATCCAACTCTTCAGAAAGATTTTAGGAGAACAACGTAAGTAATGATAATGCAACAGCAGTTCACTGAATGTAGCAGAGGCAGAAATCACCTCCTATGCTCTGACGTTTTGGGGAGGGGATGTTGGAGCATTTGGGTTCTAACACTATGACAGCTGTCCTATTTGAACTAGCTGGTTTGCTTGAATGCTGTTCTTTTCCTTGAATGCTGTTCTTTTCCACAGCTGCTTGTTAAAAGCGTCAGCTGAGTGGCCTCCTCATTTCTCTAGAAGGGTGTTGTCATAAATGTCATTTAATCTATGGCAGGCACAGACAAATGAGCTTGCTTAATCCACTTACGTTCCACGTTCAAGATAACTTCACTCATTTTGTGTGAGAAGGAATAGGGAAGTACTGGTACTTTTGGCAAGCAGATATGCAGAGACAGCAATACAGTGGACAGAAATTTCTATGGAAGGTAACATATTTAAGAGGTTGTGATTCAAAGCCTGTCTGGGGTCTGAGAATTTTCCACTTTTACTGTTTTCTGGTGCTTTGGCTAAATTAGTCAAGTGGTGGTGATAGATCAGAACTTGTAAGGAGCCAAACAGACTGTTGTAAGGCAGAGGACATGGATTCAGAAGTTTTGGATTCTGTTTCCAGCTCTGCCATGGGTTCATTACACTCTCTTTTAGACAAGACATGAAGCTTATCTGTGCATGAAGCTTCTTTCTTTTGAAAATGGCTATAGATAACCTCTGGAGCTGTAAATAAAAGGCAAGGCACAGGTAATAAATATTTGAGACATCTTTGAGCTTGGAAGCTGGAAGGACTATATGATTTGCTGCAGGTTGGGATTGGGAAGACATAGTGGTAACCTTAACTGCTCTGCCAAATTGTAACTGGAAACAACTTAATAGCTTAGATGTTGAGCTCTTACAAAGGGCTGAACACTTTCTGCGGCAGAGTTGCTTTAGAAAATTAGGATATAAACTTCAAGTTATGTCTCCCTGTCATATGTCCATATCAACAGTTTATCCATATACTATAAAAGTTGCATGTTTCATGGAAATGATCTTTACACAGTTGATACCACTCTTGTTGGTGAAAAGCACACTTTATATGTGCAACTGCTAGATAAATATCTCACATGTCTTCTGATAGTAGTTCTTTTTATAGCTTACTTATTAAGGGCTGGTAAATGTTTTTGTGATTTGGTAAATGTTTTTGATAGAGTTCCATGTTTTTAATGCAGTGTTATTTCAGACATATCTTTCTTTAACTGTATTTTTCAGATATGCCAATAGTAGCCTCATAAAATACATGGAGAAACACAAAGTCAAGCCTGACAGCAAAGTTTTTCTTTTGGTAGGTGCAACTTGAAAATTGCTGTGATGACAGGAATGAAATACATTTCTTATGGTAATATCTGTGTCTGTTCTTCTGTCTCACTCTAATGAACACCAATATTTAAGAAAGCTATTTACCACTAACTGGCCATTTTTGAGATGTGTTTTCTTCATATAAATTTATGCTGAGGTGTGCTTAAACTGCTGGTAGTGAAGATCTGAGAGTTTCTGTAATTAAGATCTGCAAGGCACTTGTATATTCAGGCTTACCTTTAGGTCTGTTGTGCAAATAGGAGAGTGAGTATAGTATATGTCTTGATTCTGTGTTGTCCCAGAGAGCTCCCAAAAGCTAAAGAGTTTTGTGAAGAAAGGGAAGAGGAAAGGAGAAATTTATTTTCTGTAGTAATTTGTTTTTCTTTTTCTTCCCTCTGACAGTAGTCTACCACTGTTCTGTGTGCAATTCCAAACAAAATCCCTAAACATATATATACTGGTTACCTAGTTGAGTCATCCCACTGTAGGCCAGTGGATCATTCCTGGATGCCTCTGTGATGAATTAGTGCTGTCTAAATTTAGGAATTAAGTTCAAAGTGACTGTGAACAGGGAGTCTCTGCAATAAGGCTTAGTGCAGCTTGAGTTCCAGTGATCTATTTTCACTTACAGATTCAGCATAGCAGTCATCTCTCTAGGTCCTGGCGAAGATTTGCTCTTTGACTTGTTAGTAGCTGCTGGATAATGACACAAATAGCTGTGGAAACAGAGTAGGTTAATCCCAAGTGGGTGGAAGGGAAGCATTCCCATAAGAAGTGTGAGACTTGAATAAAAATGAATTAAAACTTCTTGAACTCAAGTTACTGGGTACGCATTGGAATCACCTGGAGGATAAGTCTAACTGAAAAGATGACATTATTAGCACGTGAATTTCCATGTTTTCCTACAAAAGGTGGAAGCCACCAGAAAACCTGATGGAAAGGCAGAGAAACAAATGGGTTGCTGTCAGCATACATAGCTAATTCATCAAGGTTGTGAACACAAAGTTGAGAGTTATCTTGGGTGGGTAGGCTGCTTTTCCAGGAGGAAATATTAACAAGATCTCTAAAGAACAAAAAACTAACCATATTTTGCTGTTCTTTCTGAACATCCTGAAGAAGGCTTATCAAGGTAATCAAGGTAGTTTCTGTTAGGTTTTTCTCACAGTTCATAATCAGGGATGAATAAGGGTATTTTAATGATCAGCCACAGAGATGGAGGCTGATCTCAAATAGGCCAGTCTCCCAGAGATCTGCATAAGAATGCCCAGGAATATGAACAACCTTCTTCATACCTCATTGCTGTACTGAGGAGGTTCATGCACCTAAAAATTGCCATAGCCATGCTACAGCAAAGAGGCTCAGTACCTACCTTATCTCGTGAAAGATCCTAAAATACAGCAGATCTTGAAGGAAAGGTGTGCATTGCTCTCCCATATCATGAGATAAGAAATATGTCTGCTAATGAGCTTGGAGGTACATGTATTTTGAAGCAGACTCCCTAAAACTCCTTGTTCATATCCAAGGTAGTTATTTTTTGAGGCAACCTCCATCTTGCAAGGTGACCTCAGAAGGCATCTGCTTTGTAACAGTCATTGATAAAGACCTTGTGCTAATGAGTACAGAAAGTGTGGTGCTTGGAGAACAGATGGCAGCGAGTAGACCAGTGCAGGATAGCAAGTGGCTCTTGAGAAAGAGAATATTATGCCATTCTGCTGATTGACATTGAATGATAATATCTACATGAAGGGCAGAATGTTTTCCATTCAGGAAGAGGCATCTATTCTTGCTATCCTGGAAGAGTTACAAGCATAGTATTTATAGCTGTCATGTCAGGCCAGGGGAGCCCAAGAGTGAGCAATTTTGAGACCTGCTGAAAGTAAGACTTCTGATGAAGTCTAGTCTCATGGGTTTGCTATGTTGTGTTAGCAACTGCTACCCTGAAAACAAATTGCCTCTAGACATTTTTTATTAATTTTCGCAGAAGCTACGCGTAACCAGACCTTCTAAAAGAAGGCTGGTTTCCAGTGGCATCACTGATAGGCAGATTATCTCACTTGGAGTGATGTTATGTGTGGTGTAACTTGGAATGAGCAAACTGATGGTATCCTCGGGGTGAAGGGTGAATGCTGACAGAAAGAGCAGATCATTAAAAGGTCCAAGATATCTTTAGGTCTTCTGCTGTGGTACATTAGTCTTATCTTTGAGTGACAAAGAATACAGGTCATGTTTGGAGGCAGTTTGTGATGATGGTGTTTATATGGCAGCAAACTGTATGAGCTTTCTCCTGAGTAGTACTGCAGCAAGCAGGTCTGAGGAAGGAGTCCAGAGGGCAGAGCTGATGCCATCTACTCTTCTGTCAAGGATGACATCTGGTGCCAAAGGCCAGGAGTGGCCTTGTACAGAATATGTGTATTTGTCCTCCAGTCACTGTGGAGGAACTGGGGATAAGAAATGTGTCAGAAGCTGCTATAACTGACAAAAAATTTGCATGTAGGGAGAGGTGGTGATTTGAAGTAAAGATACTGGAGTCCCCAAATTGTGGTATATATTGTGTGAGGTCACTGTGTAGAGAGACAACAGCACATTAGAAGTTCGATTTGTTAAGATGCATGGGAAACATAGGGTTAAGAGTTATCTGACCACACAAAAATACAGTAATAATAATAAAAAATAAATGGTCTCAGCTGAGCTCTCCAGGTGTGTGCAGTGCAGGACTATCTTGGGGTGTATGTCTAGGCAAGCAGCAGAATTAATTTCAGGAACTGGTTGCAAATGAACTGATAGGTGGAGAGACAGCCCAAATAGCTCTTTGTTGTGTTGTCAGTCTGTTGAGGTCCATGGCCCATAAAATATGTGAATAAGGATAGGTGGGAAGAAAGTGGCAGAAGTACAAAGAATTTAATAGGCCTTATCTACCAGGCCTAGAATTAACTATAACTATTGCGAAAGGAAATACAAGGAATCATCTTTCTTGAGGAGGATGGGTAGTCTTACTGAGGCTGCTTATTGTAGCAAATATATAGAATATAGAATTGTATATCAGATTTTTAATTTATTGGAAGAAAAAGCCCCAAATACCCATGCCAAAATCACTTTTTTTTTTTTTTGAATATTCAGGCAGTTTTTGTTGGAGGACCAAAAGACAGTTTGAGCTAAGATATCCTTTGCAGAAGAAATTTTATTTTTACTACTGGCTTGAATTAAGAGAGGATTGCATGAGAGCAGGATACTGTATAATGTAATTTGAGCACCCAAATTTCCTACTGTGAGTTTATCAGAATGTGATAAATAAGTAACTCTTTAAAATGGTATGATATGCCTATAATTGCTGTTTATACTACTAATGTATTGTAATCCTCTTTTATAGCCTGCTGCAGTCAAAAGCATTCTGGCTAATAGATTTAGGCTTATTTTCCTCCTAGCAAGGAAGAAAGGTTACTAGGAAGGGTCTGCTCCCCCTCTTTCTCATTTCAGTACCAATTAGAGTAGGTTTGAGGAGCTGCATGAGTATCGGAGTGCTCTGTCTCTGGAATGTTGCCAGTGCAAGAAATGAAGATTTATTGTTTCCACCCCTAAAGCGATATGAAGAGTCCTGGTTATGTTCAGTCTGTTCTGACACTTCATTTTGTGTTAGCTGTACAGAACAGTATAAAAGCTATACATGTACCACAACAAAAAGACATTATTTATAAATTATGCTTTATGAACCTGTAATAGCTGAATTTAGTGTTACTTTAGCAAAGTGGTTTAGCCTCAGCAATTAATATTGCCTAATACACCTAACTATTTCTTACATGAGATGTACTTCACAGCCATTGTATAATGTACTTCACAGTACTATGATGGATGTGCATTGTAGTTCTCGGGAACTTCACTGGACAAGCAATGCTAAATTATGCTTGTCTGGACAAACCAGAAAGAATTTAGTAATCCACAATCCAAGACATACAAGTTATAGTTTGAAAAATAGTAGTTTGATGAACTTTTTGCTATTTTTAACGTTATGCTTTACAGCTTCAGAAGCTTCTTACTATGGACCCTACAAAGAGAATTACCTCAGAGCAGGCTTTGCAGGACCCTTACTTTCAAGAGGATCCTCTGCCTACATCAGAGTATGTATTCCCTTGTCTGTGCACATCTTCTTTCTGCTATATGCTCATCGCTGAAATTACATGACATCTGAAACATTCAGATATCTGTCTGTGTCCACAAGAAGTAGTAGCTCAGACATGCTTAGCAGAAACTACACTAGTAGTCTGTATCTACTGGTGCCAGAACTAAATGGTCACCACACTAGTGGTGTAATTCTGAGCATACTACCAAAGCTAGAGGGACAATATTATTGCAGTATTTAGAGAATTAATCTATTCCCTCTTCTGTTCTGCATTATGCAGCCTCACAGAGCGCTGTCTTCCATTGCCTAGTTTGGTTGTGCCTCTCCCTAAGATTAGGACAGTTCTCTGACCTAACAGCCCTTTCCTATGCCCTCTTGCACAGGGTAACAGTATGAGAAGAGTGAAGAGATAAATGGCTGCATAAAATGCCACAAATCCCTTGTTCAAAAGGCTTGAGAGTACAGAATTTGTCTCTCTGTATTTTATTGTCGCGAAAAGTTCAAATTATATATTCATTTCCAACTGGCAGACTTACAGTTTCTCTTCCCAGTGTTTAGAAGCATGGTGGTGCATAGCATTATGTTCTGTGGGAAGTGGATGCAGGGAGGCTTCCACCTTTGCTTTCATTGTTTCCTCAGCCAGCAGGCAACACTAAAAGGAGGAAGCAGTCACTGGAGTGCAAAAGGAATCTAGTTGAGACTAGTTGGGCGTTTTTAAATTTCTTTTTCTTGTTTACACACTTTTAAAAATCGTGTCACGTTGATTGTATTCTGAACATTCATGCAGAAATCTAAGAAACTGATACTGAGCAAGATCTACCAGTAATTTTCTGTTTAGCGTTTGTCTGATGCTATCCTAGGTAGAGCTATAGCTCCTCATGGATTACAGGATAACATTGTGATAAAGTGTCTGCCATAAGCATTAAGGAATGTTCCAAATTCCATTGATGAGTGGAACTTGAAAACTATCTTTTTTCCCTCAGCAAGACCTGGGAAGCTTATTGAAAGTAACTATGCAGTTGTGATTGGCAAATATATTTAAGCCTGCTGTAAGCCAAGGCAGGCTCATAAGACACTAATACTCTTTGGATCAGGCCCTTTATTCAGTGAGCCATGCATGTTCTAACTGGGTGTTGTGGAACCTCTGGCACTGTGTTTGTTCATTTTATCATCTGGATCAACAAGTGGTCGTTCTGGCATTCAGGCATGTTCAACCATGCCATGATTTCTAAATGACAGCCTAGTGCCAACAGCAAAGAGATCTGACGTTATGATCAGCACCTATCTTGAGTGCTCACAATGCCACTCACTTTTGGAAATAGAACACATGAAATAAAAGAAATTAAGTTACGTTATATGCACTTGTTTTTAACATGGTGTTAAGTAAATGTATGCCATATGTATATATTTGTGGAGTGTTTACTGTTTACTGTGTTTCAGTGTGTTTGCTGGCTGTCAGATTCCATATCCTAAAAGAGAATTCCTCAATGAAGATGAACCTGAAGAGAAAGGGGATAAGGTATAATAAAATCCTTTTTTCTTTAAAAAAACCCCACTTTTAGATATGCAATAAGAAAGCATCATGGTGCTACCAAATGAAAACTAATGAAACACGAAGAGTTAACAAAAAATATTTTTCTGAGGTAATGCTCAGCTCTCTTAAAACTGCTTCTCAGAAATATGAAAAGTATCAGATGACTTTGGGGTGTCTCAGGTGGTATTACCAGCATGGTTTGCCCTGACCTGTGGGGAAATGAGCTTTATGGGCTGTTGTGTCAGCAATAGCCTGCTTTCAGCTGCTGTCATTCCAAGAGGACCTTACTGCTTCCTCCAGCATTGCATGATGAAAATACATTGTGAGCACATGAAGAGAATGGCATTTTCATTGTATGACTGGCATACATCCAGCCATTTGAATGGTGATGGCTGTTGGGGTCTCAAATAAATAGTGGCAGCCTGCTTCTGGCACTACATCAGAACATTTCATCCATCTGCACACAGTTTCCTGATCCTGTTTTAAGGGCTTTCAAACACAGGAGTAGTAAGGACTGTGAACTGTTCAAGTAGTGACAATCTGCTCTGAGTATTCTTTTTCTCATAGCCCCATAGACGTGGGCGAGAACTTGTTTGTGTGCATAGTAAACTTTGGTGTGTTTGCAACATAATCTGATCTGCTTGGTGTGTGTAGCTCAGCTGTGCTACATGACCCCAGTGATTGTCCCATCATGCTGTAAAGGCTGGACAGTAGTGCTGTGGTGTAAAAAACAGCTTGTTATTTTCACTTAACAGTGTACAGTGAGACACCAACAGTGTAGCTAACAAAATGTGAAGAGAACAGTCTTGAACTGTAATTATCCGAGGACTATGTGAGAAGGACTGTTATCTTTTGGAGAAACCATTGGACTATGTGCATCTTCTATTTTCGTTTTTCTGCATAATGTGACAAACAAGCTGAGTTTAAAGATACATTTCAGAGAGCAAATTTTGTGTTCAGAACTGATATTGCAGTTCTTCTGTACTGAGAGCAAGTGGTAACATCCATGATTGTTGTGTCCAGATAGTTTTTTCAAAAAGAGGAAACAGACCCTTAAACAAAAATAAAATGAAAGTCATAATAGTGATTTGATTGTAATGTAGTTACGAGTTCTGCTTCAGCTCTCACAGCTTCACAAACAAGAAGAAACCTTATGAATTAAGATTACTCTGGTTTTTTACTTTCAAGTCAGTGTACTTAAAAGTAAATACCTTTTTCCTGGGGGTGCTTTGGGTGGTGATGTCAATGGCATATTTATATTCAAAACAGCCAATATATAAATGGTCTTTCAGATTGTTGATGACGGTCACGTATTTATGCACACTCCAAATTAAACTTTTTTCAGACCGGTTGAGTAATATAAGTCACACATTACTCACTGAATGTGTTCCCACAGTGTAGACAATGTGGAGGTAAAGGATATTCTGGAAGTTAAATGTGTACCATGTTTTGTTGCTTTATGATGTTATTGTAAATGAAAGGTTGTTTTTTTTTTATACTGCTTTGTTTTTGCTTTGTTTTAAAACCATAAACATCTGTATAGTCCTTTGGAAACCGGGAGAAGTTCTCTGTGTTTGTTTATTTGGAACTTGAATCTGAATTGAATAACATTTAACATAAGCATCCATTCTTCAAAATGCATAATCGTTAGTCAGCAAAGCTAAAATGAGTGTTTGTAGCACAAAGGGAAACTATTCTCTTCTCATTCAAATTCTGTTAGGCAAGTTTCTGCTGGGTTTTTTTGTAGGTAGAACCAAAATTTGATTTTGGTAATTTGTGCCTGAGAGGTAACAGGTGTCAATATGTTGTTAACTGTAGGCCTTTTATAAGTTTATTCATTTAGGAACCACCATGAACCAGACTGACCCGAGGACAATGTCTTTGCTGGTGTAAGCCATTTTTGTGCAGTAATGTGGTGCAACTAGACCTCAGCTGTAGTCTGACAGAGCAGGTCCACAGAAGAGCAAGCTCAGGCTAATCAAGTAGATTTTGTGCCAAAATCCAAAGCGCAAAACTTGGGACCTCAACAAACTCTTGTCTTTAATTATGAGTGTTCCTGCAGTATTTGTTTACACATAACAAAATTGCAGCTTTTCAGCTCACACAGTAGCAACAACCTCAACTTGCATCCAAACACCCCTATGAAAACACAAATTGGGCAATTCTAGCACAAATACTGCCTTAGTTATTGATTTTTGTGTAAGTGAAGCTCAAATCATTATGAAAAGATTAATTGCTTCTTAATAGATTTTTTACAAGCTAGTTTGATTAACTTTTTAAATTATTGAAGTCTAAATTTCACAGGATGCAGAATCTGACTGAGATGGGATTTGAGGACTGCAGGCAGGAGGATACATTATTAGTTTTGCTGAATGTGAAATGGAATTGCAAGCCATCTTGAAGTCCTTGAAGATGCAAGGCTTCTTTGTAATCTTAATGAATACATCATTGCAAATTTCATCTGAATGTATCTTGGGAGACCATTGTGATGAATGGCTTAAATACAGATCTTTTGTGTCCTTTATCTGAGGTAATTAAGTGGGTCTTGATGATTGGGGCATCAAGAATTTTCTCCTAGTGGCAACTGGTTGTCATGATTTCTGGGAAACTAATAAAGTCAGGGTTTTATAAAAGACTACCATGCTGGAATTTTTATATAAGCAGATATTCTAGGAAAAAAATACTATCCTGGAATGTTCCCTACAGTATACTGGGGGAAGGGTAATAAGGCTTTTCAGTTCAAGCCATGTCAGTTGTAGGTTTTTTCTGTGATAACCAATTGACATATCTCACATTTGGAGTGAAATTGCTTTTCTTTGCAATTTTCTTATGTGCTTTAGTGCTCTGATGGAGGAGCCATCCCTGGTGCTCAAAAGCAGGTGAATGGGTGGTCTTTCCCAGAACTGTCTAACCATGGAGGGCAGGGTTGCTCTTTCTGACCTTCCTTCCACTTCCCTAATACTCTTTTAAGTCTGTAGCCCTCTGAAGCCAGAAGCGTACAATATCTTTTGCTCTTGTGTTCTCCTTCTTAACCTTGTTTCTCCCTTTTGTGGCGCTTTTTTCTGCCTCTCTTCCTACTAGGTCCCAGTGTCATCTTAATTATCTGGCTTCCCTCCCTTTGCTAGTCTTCTGCCCTTACCAAATTCTTCTCCAGCTGTTTCCTCCTCTTTTGTCTTCAACTACTTATCTCTGGTTAATTTTCACTTTTATGCTATTTTAGTAAGATTTTCTGACCCTATGCCTGGTGCACCATGCTGGACCCTATTTCCACTATAGCACTCTTTGCAAGGTGCTTAAAAGCACAGTAGTGAAACCTGTTTCTGGTTTTGCCCAGAATTTCCTTGCAACCTAGAAGAAATTATATAATTTCTCTGGTCTCAATTTGCTTACCTTTCTGGCAGTAATGCTTCTTTGGGTTATTATGATGTGAAAGTTTGAAAAATGGTTTTGATTCTGAGTGAACAAAGCTGTTGAAGCTCTTAGAATAATTTGCTGTGGTTCACCATGTCTGCTGCTGAGCACTAGAGAAATTTTGGGAGTTTTGATTTAGTTTGTTAGATGATTACTGCTTTATAAATGGTTACTTCTGTCCTCTGAGCACTTGGCTAGCTGTAGGAGGCACTAGACTGTCTTTCCAGTTTAAGTCCAACTCTCTTCGTTAAAGAAGAAAACCAGTCACAAATGGGATACCCCCACAAGGTGTGCAAGAGTGTACTGAGAACAAACTTCTCCCAACAGTCGGCCTTGCTGTATTTTCTCCTGGAGCAGGGAGGCCTGGGTTGGCAACTCTACTGTAAAGTTCACAAACCCAGCTTAGAGCAAGTGACCATGTTGTGTCTCTTCTTCCCTTAGAATCAACAGCAGCAGAATCAGCATCAGCAGCAGACAGCACCTCAGCAGCAGCCGCAGGCAGCACCGCAGCAGCCGCAGCCGCAGCAGCAGAACAGCACCCAGACCAACGGGACGGCCGGAGGCGCTGGCGCGGGCGGAGGGGGTGCAGGTGCGGGGCTCCAGCACAGCCAGGACTCCAGCCTCAACCAGGTGCCTCCGAACAAGAAACCACGCATAGGGCCTTCAGGCGCTAACTCAGGCGGGCCTGTCATGCCTTCAGATTATCAGGTACCTCTTGAAATTTTGCTACTTCTGATGCTGCAAGGCCAAAACATCATTTTTCCCCCTTGCCCACTGCAGGAACACATCATGTTTTAATGAATTTTTCATGTAACCTGAGCAGGCATGCTGTGATATATTATATTAAAATGTTGGGTTTAAGTTAAAAGGTTTTGTTCTGTGATTAGTAATTTTCAATACAATACCACTTTGAGTTGTATCTACTGCACCCTGCTTTCCATTTCAGGAAAGCACTTAAATATTTGCTTAACTTCATGTTTGAGAGTAATCTTACTGAAGCCAGTGGATGTAAATGCTGCATTGCATCAAGTTCAGGATGAACTTGAGTCTTGGCAATATTAAATCCTGTGTGAGGAGCAGATCTGAGAAGATCCCGAGAAGCAGACGTAAAGTTAGAACTAAGCTCTCCCATTTCATTCCTGTGTCATTTTACCTCATATTATCACATGTATGAAGTGGTTCTGTAGTTTATTCTGGTATCTTTCTAAGTCTACTTCTAATGTTAAAGGAAAAATGCATGCTAACACAGGAATGTTGTTTTGGTTCATCTGTATGATTCATGCTGAAGTAGAATGCAAAGACATGCATTGTTTCTAATGGGACCAAAATTGAATAGATTTCATGTCTTCTAGTACAGTAGCATTCATAAGTAAAAGCAGTATCACTGAATTATTTTTGGGTTTGCATATTTGTCTTTGCTTACTAGAATTATATTTTCCACTGAAGAAGTGACTTAAACTAAGTATAGAAGGCATTGAACTTACCAGGATCTTCAGTACTTTTGAGTTTATGCTTGCTGGAACAGTAATGAGTTGAAAGCAGAATAAGAAAAAGGTAGATATTAAAGGTAGATTTTAAATGATGCTAGGGACTCTGCTACTAGCCTCTGAGAGAATCCCCACCTTGGAGAACAGTCTTTTCAGGCTGCTTTAAACTTAAAGTAAGTAGCTTTCAAAGCACCAAGCTCTGGAGTTGCCTTGACTTAGCCCTCCAGACCTTCTCCACAGACAATTGATTTCTCAGTGCCAGACAGTTTTCTCCCATTTCTGTTTGACTCTTTTAATTACAAATGATCATGAAGGCATTGAGGGCAATTTAAGGGTAAAGACAACTAGGTTTCTTTTTTGAAAAGTTCCAGACAGGCTTGAGGCCTGGACAGATCACTGCAGCTGTCTGAATACACAGTATTTATGGCTGGTCTGTTTTGGTCTGTACTTTGAGGACTGGTGTGCTGCATTTGATGATATCCATTATAGAATTCTTATCCAGCTCTCTGAATTGTTGGCAAACTTCCCCCTTACAAGTTGCTAAGAGTCTAAATATTTTTTTTCCGAATAGATTTTTTTTTTTACCCTCTGTGATGCTTTCCATCTAAACTTGAACAGCACAGGCATCAAAATCATGATCTCTATGTTTCCTTTACATCGCTCACTAAATTGTATGGTCTGGTTATCCATTTTTATATTCGTGTTTGGCTTTCTGCCCTTAAATTCTAGCTGACTGTCTTCTGTTCCAGAAAGGAATGTCTGCAATTTGTCCAAGTTTGACTTTGTTAAAAACAAATTCTCTTATGTGGAACAAAAATAAGCATGGGCAAGTTAATGCATTCTTGTAGTCTTATGGCATTAATTTTACTCCAGCATATCTTATTCAGGAGTAGGAAGAAGATTCCCTTTGCTTTGAGTTTCATTTAGCTTGTGATCTGAAGTCTCCATTGAAGTTTTCTTGTAGTTCACCAACCTCAGTATATGTTGCTTCCACAAATGACAGTGCAAATTACTTGTTGAATTTTACTGAGCATTCCTTTTGTGACCCTGGGTGTTTTTGCTTAGCAGGGTGAGCTGATGCTTTTCATCCAGAATAAGCTCCTATAAAATCATACCATTTATAAAAAATCTTTTTTTTTTCCATTAGAAATTGAAAAAACTTTCGGAATTTAGAGAAAAATTTCAGGTTTTAGACACTCTGTTAACAACCTAACTGAATAAACCAAGAATAATCTGGTTATTAACAACATATGTGCTGCTGGGACACGTCTCTTCCAAAGCCGGAGTGCTGAGCTGTTGCCTCCAAAACTGACCCTTACAAACAAGTGAAGTTACTTGGTACAACTATTAGTTATACTGGTATTATATTGATATACACAGGTCTCCAGTATGGGACTGTTACCTCTCTCTCTCACTGTAGCCTCACTGTGCTTCACCTTGAAAGCAACCTTCATATTCCTATGTTAGAACACAGAAGAAGTTATGTGATGTTTTTAGGATTTAGTATGTTTTACAGTTTATGTAAAATTGAAATTATAAAGCCATGTACAGAAACAAAGGGCAGAACTGTTTTAGACTGCCTGAACTTTAGGATCCTGCTCTTTCATCATCCAGCTGAAAAGTTGTTAGGAGGCTTTCACAGCTTTCCTGGTTGGGGTCCAGTGGTTAGATGAGACCATTGACTGCCTTCACCAAGCAGATTCTTGGTCTGTGGAGGATGTGGTGTTCTTACAGACTGAGTGTCTCCATGGGATTTTTGTTGAGAACTCAGACTTCTCCAGGGCCTTTCTGGAACTCCTAATGCTGATATTTAATCACAGTGTTATGCTCTTAACACTTTTCCTAAATGATTGCTGTTGGCCACAGGCCTGTTGATGACCCTTGGACATAGCCAAGTAGAACCACCAACTAGACAGTGAACAAAACTATTGAATGGCTGCCTGAACCCTTGCTTAACTTGGCTGGAAACAAAACTGTTTGCTGACTGCAAATTTGGGGGGGGTGGTTGTAGACTCTCCTTTCATGTGGATTGGGGTGGGGTTTATCTTGCTGGAGAGTCTCCTGTCTACTGAGCAGTACTTCTCATGCCAAGTGATTTTGCAACTTGCATTATTGGGCAGCTCACTATTAATTCTGGACAGGGAATGGATGTGATAATGAAAGAGCAAATTCATCAGGCTGGAGGTTGCAAACAGTCCATGAATTTTTCTTGCTGAGGTTGAGATCCACTGAGCTGACATCCCAAACTGTGGAGGGGAAGAGAAAAACATTTAGGAAAATGAATGTTAGGTTATTGTACATACCCATGCCCAGCTTTAAGCAGTTGTCCTCGTTTCCAGTAGATAAGGCAGCAGGTTGAAAGACTCACCTAAAATGATATTATTTTTTCTTAGTGGACAATTTTTCATTTAGATAAATTGAGTAACTCTAAGGTCATGGTTGTCTTTTTCTCAGAAAAGAATAAAATGTTTCTCTATAACATTTAGTATTACAGATCCTGAGAAGGGTATTTATGGCCTTAGCAGTTTTGATTTTGCATTAATAGCAATTACAATAATGACAGAAATAATTGTATGAAACAGATGAATTTTGAAAGGGAGTCTGCTCTTGTGTCTTGTGTATTTTTCCTTCAGAAAATGAGTGTGTACCTGTTGTACTTCTAGGTGTCTACCAATACCTTGTGTATTTTGTGTGCTGTGTTAGGGCTGATTGCAGATCAGAATGATTACTTGTTTTATGGGACCCTAAACAGTAGCACTCTTTAGTCAGCTTCTCCAACAATTATGTTTTAATGACCTTCAGAAGGGTTCAAAGCTTCCTGAGCTGCGTAGTCCTAACAGCCTGGTTTTCGTTCCCTTGATCCCTTTCTTTTTTTTTCCTGCAGCACTCCAGCTCACGCCTGAGTTACCAAAGCAACATTCAGGGATCTTCTCAGTCCCAGAGTACAATGGGCTATTCCACATCATCTCAGCAGAGCTCTCAGTATCACCAATCTCATCAGTCTCACAGGTACTGAGAGGCCTGACAGGCTGCACTCGGAAAGGAATGGACTAAAAGCCAGAAGACTCCAGCAATATGAAGTTCATAATGATGAGAAGACCAAAAATACAAACTATAATGCAGAATTAAAGTTCATGATGACAAAAGGAAAACTTCACTCACTGAAGACTTCCCCCGCCCCATCCCTTTATTGCCATAAAGGAGATTCTTGTGAAGTTTTCCTTCCTCCCTGCCCTTGCATGTGCTCCATTGTGGTTACTCTAATGAACCCTTCTGATCTGAACCCAGCACTTAATTTCTTTAACCTTTGGAATTTTGAAGGATTCCTGGTGCACCTTCCTTATGCTGTAGTGATTGCCATAAATCTGTCTTTTCAATCTCTTTAATGGGATTTTAAAGTTTGAAAATCTTGAACTCCCAGGCTTTCAAGCTTGTATATAGTTAGTTTTATACTAGGCAAACCAGTTTAGCTATACAGGTATATTGCACCTTTTTAAAGCACTATGTTATTTTCACAGGATATTACTGTTTTGCTCATGGATGTCAAGAACAGCAAAATTTTACTGTTCCAGAGTATTTTACTATTCTGTTTTTATTAGTCTAGTTTTCAGGCAAAGTTAAAAATAAAAAATTTAAAAAATTAATAAAATGAAAAAAGGAAAGAAGAAAAAAAACCACCCAAGTCTCTGCAGCGACAAATATGCTTCATGCTACTGGACTGAACGCCAAACAGAAGATTGCTGATATTTCTTAACTCATTCACATTGAATTCTTGAAATCACAGTGATCATGCTCTGACTAGTTTTAAATTAAGTGTTATTTCAAATGAAACCAGGACAGTCACATAAAAAGGAGATGCTTTCAGGATCTGTTGGAACAGAAGAATGGAATGTCTTCCCAGGCTGGACACCAAAATAGTCAGGAAAATGTATTTACTGCCCTCGAGTCTCAGTAGGAATGTGGATGATGCGCTTGTTTTTCTCCTAAGCAGCTCATTAATGTATGTGAGAGTTCTATAAATTTAGCTTTCTTTCGCATTCCTGAGTCAGTTCTCGAAATTTAAAGGTGACAGAAATACTAAGACTTGCTAAAACAAATGCATTTAATCATTTTACGTTAGAATTAATAATTAAGAGAAATTATTGTGCAGTTTGAAAAGCATGTTGAAAACTGTTCCTTTTTCATGTTTATAGTGCATATTCTATGTCCCTCACATTGCTGTGATTAACCAGATTAGTTACACCAGATGCGCTTGATTGCACTGAAATGTTTCCTTTTCCCTAGAGCAAACATGTTTTGATTGTGCCTAAGGGACTGCAAGTGGATGGGTAGCTGGCAGAAAATCCCCAGTAATTAAGCAAGAGTTTAGAAGCATAATCAGGGGATTATTGTCCAACTTCTGGAACCACAGTTATTCAGAGACACACAACGTGTAATTTGGGACAACTTCGTTTTTCCTTCAGCCTTCAGAAATAAGGCTGATTCTAGTTGCAGAAAACCTGGAAAAATGCATTTAAAAAGATACTGGCAATGTAACACCAGTGAGCTTCTACAACTGGTGTCCAGAGAAGAGGTAAAGTGAGAGAAGTTTATGTGTAAATGGTTAACAATACAGATTTTTATGCTGCACTGTGTTCTCTTCTGTCCTGTGGCCACACAAAAAACCCTGTACACCCATACACGTTCACACTGAAGTTGTGATCAGATGTAGCAAGAAGAGGGTCAGGCACTGATCTCTTTCCTGTGGTGACCAGTGACAGGACCCGAGGGAATGGCCTAAAGTTGTGTCAGAGAGGTTTAGGTTGGCTATTAGAAAAAGGTTCTTCACCCGGAGAGTGGTTGGGCACTGGAACAGGCTCCGCAAGGAAAAGGTCACAGCACCAAGTCTGACAGAGTTCAAGAAGCGTTTGGACAATACTGTCAGGCACATGGTGTGATTCTTGGGGATAGTCCTGTGCAAGGCTAAGAGTTGGACTTGATGATCCATGTGGGTCCCTTCCAATTTGGCATATTCTGTGATTCTGTGAATAAATCTGTTTGCTCTGAGGAGAATGCTATTCATCACAGCTAGTCACATACAAGTTTCTACTGGGTTTCATGTCCCAATCACCTTTACTGCCCCCTTCCTCCTCAAACTTGTGCTCTTTTCATACCTTTTGTGAGCAGTTGGCTTGTTTTGGCTATACTTACCATCATGTGGTTTTGACAACACCCAGCTGCTCTGGAAAAGCAACTAAAACCTGCTTTTGTCATCAAATGAGTAAGAAGGTGGTGAAAAATGAAATGAAGCAATTGAAAGGAAACCTTATTTCTGGGGAAAAATAATCTCCCAGAGGATACTTTCAATGTGTAACCCTTGAAATGCTCCATTTTATACATGCCCTAGTAGCCTGTTTGTAAGAACAGATTTTAATTGTTTCTTTATTTCACTGAGCCTGAGGGTTTGCTTGCTTTCTGTCTCACCTCTTACTGATGTTAATAAGAGGTACTTTTGAGCTAATGGATATTTGGCCAATGCCATAAATTAACATTTGACTTGAGTGTCACGTTTCTGGAAATTAATCTTTTTGTCCCCTTCTGTTTTTTTCGTCTTTCTCTTACCTCAAAATTATTTTGTCTTTTCTACTACAGTAATGTAACATTTCTATTCCCTACTGTGACCTGCAGCTGGTCATCCAGATTCATACAAGATCAGGAAGTGGCAGGGAACCATATGGTTAATTAAGATGGGCTCTTGTGCCAATAAGGCAAAATCATGGTGTAGATTAATCTCTATGTAGAGTGTGAAACTTCACAGCAATGTAAGGTGCTTTAATTGAGTGAGCTTCCAGCTTCTAAAGTGACTGCCACGACCTCTCTCTAAGCTGCACTGGTGTTTCTGCCTTGGTTAGGTCTGGTCAATGACCACATGGCGCTCCTCTCTCTAGCTTTTGTGTGCACACATGAATCCTCCGTTCCTTCAAACTCACCACTGGGAGGAGAGTGAATAAAAGCAAAAGAGCTGGCTGCAAAACATAGGCTCTGCACACTCTTGTAGTTCCTTCCTGGTGGTGAAATAATTCTCTTTTTCTTGGGAGCTTGATGCATGCTGCCGAGGTCAGTGGCCGTCATAGTGGAAGAAGCGTTGCTGTCTAGGGGTCATCCCGTGAGGTAAAAATGTTCCGCTTTCAAAAGCGAATCATGCAGTTTGTCATGGGAAACCAGGACCATGTCATTTTTGTTATTTTTTGCCTGTGCAGTTTCGTTATTACTCATAGCTCTGTCTCTGCCCATAACCCTTAGACCCTCACCAAAGTGTTTCACACCTGTGCTGAGAGATGCAGGTGACACGGGCAGAGCTGTCTTCTCCATCCTGGTGGGAGAGCAGGCTGCTGGGTACAGCTTTTCCCATCGTGGCTCAGAGGAAACAAACACGTGGGGAATGAATAGGATGAGCAGCCTGGTCCATGTTGGTGAAGTTTATGTAGCACAAACTGCACAATGAAGGAGAAATATAGGGGAAGCTGCGAGTCCTGCACTGTATCTGTGACACTGTATCTGGGGAGGGGGAGGGAAGAGCATTCGTAGCGGGAGGGGTGGCGGGAAGCTAGAAGTGTTCAAATATGTATAATATTTTATATAAACATAATAAGCTTAGTTCCCCTTCATAATCTTCAGGAATGGTACTTTAACACCATTAAGCAAAGAATTGTTTTAGGATTAAATAAATGTATTGTACATAAGGCCATACGTAATCTTCTAAAAATGTCGCCAGACAGAAGCGATGTGTATTACTATATGAAAAAAGTCCTTAATGCACTGTTATCTTCTAAATATTTAGTAGTAAATTAATGCTATTTAATTTTTTTAAAAATTTGTCTTGTGTAGACACTAAAAAGTATTACACAAAATCTGGACAGAACATGTCCTTTTTAACAGCAATTTAAAGAACTTTTTATATATGTAAGGTAGTAACTTTTCAAACTGTTCTAGTTGTATATTCCCATGTTTACTATTTGTGGAAGTGTGCCTGTCTCTATTCAGTTTTTTTTTCTAATAATTTCATGCACACATCTTTCATTTTTGTAGTTTCCATTGGAAATTATTGTGTATGCACCTCATGCTGCCACAAAACTTTGCCACTCTAGATCTGTGGTGGCCACGTTCAGCAGTGCCCATGCCAGTGGGCTAGCAAAACCACAAAGCAAAATACTTGTTTCTCATTCTAGAGTTGAGAGTTTACTGCTTTTAAGTTGTCCTGATGTCACTCTTGAAATGACTGTTAAAACTAAGCTATGAGTTCATTGCATTTATTTTATATTCTTGGTTGTAATGAAATGGAATTGACTTTGCTTCAGTGTGAATTTTTTTAATAAAATAATATACATTTGTAATAATAATAAAAAGTTCAAATCGAATAAGTGTGCAGAAAAGTTTTTGTAAATATCAGCTTTGGGCTACCAAGAGAGAAAATACAGCCCACGAAATTGCAGTTGTAATTACATTCAGAATGTTGATGATATCATACACCACACAAAACAAAGCTTGCAAAACCTCAGAGTTGAAATTACAGCTTTTAAAATGTCCATGAGGATATTCAAGGGTATGTGTCTATCAAAATAGAATGAAAGCTTATGGAAAGCAGAATCAATGGAGTGGTTCTCTTATGTTTTGTTCTGTGCTTACGAAATTCTGGCATGCTGTGCTGATGCCCACTGTTGAGATTCATTATTACTTGCATGACAGTGCTTTAGATGTATCTTCTGAAAAAAAGCTGATCTACTGCATTCTGAAGATAAATGCCCTCGTGCCTTTTCCTCCTCACTGAACCCTGGAGCATTTCAAGATGTCAGGTGACAACATGGAAAGCACGAGCTAGAGCATGTTGGTGGGTTTTCAGAGTGGGGTTTTGTGTGCTTTGCTAATCTGTTTCTGTTCCATCTAACCGTTGTTTCACGGATGGATAGCTAATTCCTTCCAAAAATCCCACTTGTCTTCTCCATAATAGTTGCCTGGGTACTTGCACTACCAATCGTGTTAAAAGGCTTTAGTTTCTAATGTGCTTTTTGCATAAGGGTGAGAGTAGGAGTGGCCTTTTGCCAAAAAACTTAGTCTGCATTTCTTACACCTCAAGATTGAGCTGTTGCTTCAGCCTCAGTGCAATTGAGCATTCCCAGCTCTATAACCCTCATAGTTTCTGTTTCTGCTGTCCTGGTTTTTTTGTTAAGAGATTGCACTTAGTCAACAGCTTTGACTTGGATGTTCTTAAAACCTCTTATGTTGGCTCTGTCTCAATCTTCGTTCTTCTATAGCATATCTCTCTCTCTGTTTTTTTCTACCTTGTCATGCAATTTACAGTCTAATCCAGCTTGATCATACTGATCTGAATTACAGTGTAGTCCCTTTTTCTGTCCTTGATAGCTAAACAGCTTAGATTTCACAGCCATTGAGAAAGTTGCAGAGTAGGTTGTTTATATTAGTCTCTTGCTTTGACTTGTTGCTTTCTGCTTTGTGTTACTGCCCTGGCTCTGCCATCTCTGTTGCATTAGTTGTGAAGCTTCTCTCTTCACTTGCACATCACTGCCAAAGCCTGCTGTTATGCCATCCCTCTTACTCAAATCAAGAAGTCGTATAAGTTATCTCCTGCTCTG